CATGAAATCCAAAATACAACAAAACGGCTTGGCATCAGAGAGAGCGCATACTTGGTGCTGTCTTCCAGCTACGAGCGCACATGACCAAAACACTTTGACGCTACTGTGACACCGTTGACCGTGGCTGGGTGCTTGCAAATTCCACCGAAGCATTCTCCCTCGGCAATCGTACGGCTTGTCAGGCTTGTCAGCTCTCGAGAAGCGTGTCGAGTTGGAGGTCTGTCGCGGCAACGCATCGACTTGAGCTTTCTTTCCTGTTCCAACGGTGCCCCCCCGTTTAGGCTTGCCCGCCATGGACGCTGCTGCACGACAGCGTGTTTCTGTCAATGTTTAAGCTCGTGGTGGCCAGCGATTAGACTGGCCTGGGTTCTCGTTGGGATAAGTCGAGATGGCTTCCGCGGGCGCGGGCGCGGGCGCGGGGAGGGCAGCTGCAAGGCCAGCTAGTGCCGCAATGACGGTGGCGTAGAACTTCATGGCGTGTCTTTTTAATAGGATATATTTTGTGGTGATTAACGAGATTGCGATGCGTGGTTTTTGGTAAACCGGGGTATGCTACTTCGTATATAGTGAGAAATCGTGGGGGATGAAAAAGGGGGGCCGTTTGGCAGGTGGAGGGAAGTGCTAGATGAGCAGATCGGAGAGGGGGCGTCAAGAGGTGAATCAGATCATACAGAGGCTGGTCGCTCCATGTCTTATATATCCTTGGGGCTGGCGATGAGGGCTCTGGGCTAGGAGATGCTCATTTCGCGGATTGATCCTGGATGTCTCACTTTGGAGGCAGCGCACTCGCTGGCTGCGTGGCCGCGTCCCACGGGCCCTCGATCTGGACCGTTCGCGTGTGGGGGGGAGAGGCGGGATGCTAATTAGACATTTTGCTTTTTTTTACTACTTGTGCTATTTTAACTCGGGCTATTGGTGTTCTATATTTACTTCAAGGGCCGATTGTGAGATCAAGGGTCGTGTGATTCGCGTTGGGCGAGGGGGGGACCACTACGGAGTACTATGTACTAGTAGTATTGTACGTACGTCGCGTGTTTGCTCGCGTGTTTGCTTCGGTATTATAGGCACCTTTCTGCTGAGATGACGAAAAGCAAGCATCTCATGATATAAATTGGGGCCTTTTTTTTTTTTTTTTTTTGTGAAATGCGCAAATACTCACTCGTCTGGCAAGTGGGCAGTAATTGTGCAAACACTCGGATTCCACAGCCAGCGAACAATGCCCATACGACTTCGTATCCCTTGACTTGTACAATCCTCGAGCCCCGAATGGTCTGTCCAGCTACCCTTGCTGATCATGTGGTTGACAGCACCAACAAGGGATGTTTGGTGTCGACCTTGTCGCTCGTCTTGAACGTACAATGTGTCTTGGGCATTCCGCCACGCCGCTTCAACGCAGCAATCCCCCCCCCCTGAGCCAACGGGCCGAGCATGTTTGCTGTACCAGTCGAAGACGTCTGCCACACCGTCAATAGTGACTCGCTTTGATCGCTCGGGGAACATGGCTGCGGGTGTTTGGCCGAGAAGAGGACCGTAGCTGGAGCCCCAGTCGTAGTACATACATGATTTTGTTGGCCGATGAGCATTAGGATCTTGTTCATGCCGTCTGCTTTTTGGGGAGGTATTGGTGCCACAGTGTTCCCCATGTCATGTGCTCTTCCAAGGTGTTTGCAGAGGCCCTTGGGATGGTGAGGATGATGGTGGAGGATGCTTGTGGTTGTGGCAGGCAAGTTGTTTCCGCGGCCTGTGGAACCAATAGACGTCAAGCCCTATACACGCAATCATGTGCCATTTTTAAGTCGGCTTCCAGACACTTTCTGATGAGGAGGATGGGGTCGATGCAGGAGGTGGCAAGCAACCCAGGCCATGACAGGTTGCTTGTGCTGAGCTTATTCTGTGACAATTGATTGATTACTCCGCAGCGCAATTGGCTGTACGAAGTATGGGGATCGCGAATCTGCCTCCCGCCGCGCCAAGACTAAAAGGGACATTCAAGTCTTGGCATTCTCGATGACGATGGCGGCCGGTGCTGGTCCCTGGAGGACATGGAATAGCATGGGCGGGTATGCCTCTAAAAAAAGAAAAGAAAAGGAAAGGAAAAAAAGAAGCATGAGCATCTTACCAAGATGGATAAATCTTTTGACTATTCCCCGAAAACATGATTGTTTCCTATCCAAGTAATGCGTTGACTCAAGTACCGCGTTTACTCCATACTGGTTTCGTTGATGAATACATCAGTCCGCCGTTGGGCAAGCCATGGACCGTTCAGGCAATCCGGGGTAGATGGGCCATGTATACTTGTAGTACTAGTAGTAGTAGTACTACGGCATTCCTAACCAAACGGGCTCTGGTTTGTTTCTCTTTAGCTTCCCGGTGGAGATTCAGCCTCATACTACGTAGTAGCACTACCGTATATACGCATGCAAGTCCGGCCCGTTCCTGCGGCCGTTTGCCAAGAACAAGGCTGATCCGAACGGCTGCTCGCAGTGTTTTATGTACCCCGGATATACACATGCATGCATCTCGACCCTGTCGCCAGATCTCACGGACCATGTATCACTGGGATTATACGATACTCCCTTGAGAAACAGGCTCCCTGGTGCCGTTTCCATCCTCTCGAAATATTAAAGTTGCTTTACTATAGGATGGGCTAGACGTGTTTGCACAATCCAGACTACTATTGCGAATGCTCCCGTCTTGGATGTGCGCTTGGACACTTCTTCAACCGTGTGGAACGAGGCAGTCACAGCGACTGCTTGACCATGACTCCAAAGCTTTGTGAATGCAAGGCTTTCTTTGTCCTCGGAGGCACGTCTTTTTGGTCGAATAGCTCACGTATTTCGCGAGTGGGACTGAGGATAGCAACCGGGCCACGCAACGAGACGAAAATCACGAAATAAGCAAGATGATATGGAAAGCAAGCATCAAGTGGACTCTCGAAATCCGTCGTGTGGATTGACCTTTTGTTTCTTCTTCACAATTAGAATTAATCGTTTGCTAAGCTCTCCGATGCGTAGCAAAGGGCCACGGATGTTCACCAGATATGTATAACACTCGGAGCCCTCTTGGTAGTCGCTTCACTACATCTCCCCATAGTCGCATTAGTCTCTTCGCTCCCTCGATTCATAGTGTACTTCCCACTCTCTCCTCGTCCAGATGGCCTTGTCGCTGCCCGAGCTGTCAATACTCATGTCCTCGGCCCCGTGATCCGACGACCTGGCCGCGACGGCCGTGACAATCTCGGCCGTGGGATCCGGCCGCAGCCTTGCTCGGGCCTTGCCGACACGTCCGTCCTCGCGCGCAGAGACCAGACTCTGCATCACATACGAGCCTCCCTGGGATCGGCTGCCGCTCCCGTTTTCAGTAGAGATCTTTGTGGTCGCGCCGAGGCCGCTGTCGAATGCCTGTAGGAACTGCCGGAAGCAGGGAAAGGTGGCCGCCATGATGGAGAAGTGCATCACGACTTGGGTTGCAATGGTGATTTCCGTCGAGTTGAATGTTGCGTCGGATCCGTACATGGAAACACGGACGAAATGCAGCCGGAACGCGATGGGGATGATGACCAGGAGCTGGGCTGAAAAGGCGCACACAACCATGACTTTGGTCTTTAGTTTCATGGACAGGCCCCAGACCAGGGCGACAGCCAACGCGCTTATCGCAAATTCAAGAAAGGTGCTAAAGGTCTCGACAACGACCCATCGGGTGACCTGTTCTCCGTGTCAGCTTGAAGAGCAAGAGCAAGATGGGTTGGCCGGGGCGGGCTCGTCGTACGAGGGTTGGGCATTGGCTGGCAATGTGCACGTTCCAAGGTTCGGGGAGGCTGCATTGGAAAGCCATGAGAAACAGTGAAACCACAGCCCATAGTATCGCGAAGAGCGTGATGCCGTACGTTGTGAGGAGATGGCGTCTGTCCTGGCCGAGCCGTGCGATGAGGAGAAACATGGCGCATTTCGAGCCGCAAATCGCCACAATGTACACCAAGTTGGAGGCATAGTTGAGCTTTCGTTGTACGGTTGTTAGCCTTTTTTTCTTTTTTTTGTTCTTTCCCTTATTGAAAAGAACCGAAGCACCTCCTCACCTTCAAGGCTCTGTCAACTTCATCCGCCACCAACAGACTTTCCTGCTTCCCCAGGCCGTTTCTGACAGCAAGCAGAGTAATGGCGGTTTGAACAAGACCGAAAACCTACAAAATAGCCCCTGGTGTTTAGAATTGAGTCATTCATACATCGGGCAACAACGGGCACCTACTGTTGCAAAGGACGCTGCGCTGTCGTCTATCCCAAAGGGCCCGTTGACACTCAACCTGATGTACAACCTGATGAGGTACACCATGACGGTCCAGGTGGCGCCCACGACGGCCGTGATGACAATGAGACCGGCATGGTCGGTCGTCGTAACCGCCAAGTTACTTGGCGTCGGTGAGCTCATGGCCGCCACTCAGCAAAGCCAGTTTTCTGCTTTCGTCGGTGCTGGATTGTTGGGCCAATAAACCGAGCATCATTTCAACGGCCGCCGGCAGGGAGGATCTCGGTGGTATTTGTGGGAAAGAACAGGATTTTCCCAGACAAAGGGGAAATACAGCATGATTGGCATTAATAACTTGTTCCAAGGTCTCCTCATGGTGGAGACTTAACGTCGGCCAAGTTATCATTCTCTTACGACACCGCCCAATTCGGAGAAACTCCGTCGCTGGTTCCTTGGCCGAGCGACTCGAGACTTTGGTCAAGCTCTTCGCAGACGAACAAGATAACGTTATTTGGCCGTCTTTATTCGGCGGCGGGGAGCAGCCAGGGGCCAAGGTTGTAATGCTTCTGGGGCCATGGAACTCGAACCTTGTCGAGGCCCCGTCCTGGGAACCACTTTCTGCAGTTCTGGACCAGACATGTTTTGCTATATTACACTTGCGGTATGCCCTTCTCGCCTGTGGAAGGGACCTCCGGATTCTGGAAGTCTCGCAACTGCCAGCGCAGCCGCTTCGTAATACGTCAATACTACTCACCGGGATGGAGACACCGACACCACACATCGGCTCGAGGGATGCCAGTTTTGGCGACGCAGGAGACAAGCAGCCTCCTTACTTTGCGTCTGAGATGGCTGCCCAAGACGGTGCGGCCCATGGTGATGATGGCTTGCAGGACAGCCTTGACGCTGGTGTAAGCGCAAATGATCGCAGAGATATGCAGCGGATGGGCAAGACGCAGCAGTTTCGGGTGAGCAGTATTGCCTCTGGAATTTTGTACAACACGCCACGAATCTAATGAGTCTTGCACAGAGAAACTTTCGAATGGTGTCGACCATCGGCTTTACCATTTGTGTCACGGGCACTTGGATCATCTTGTTAACGTGAGCTGGAAGCTCCGTTTCCGGGGGATGCGGCATTGCTGACGAGACGCAGGTCAAACACGCAGGGCCTCATAGCCGGAGGCATGTCGGGCCTCTTTTGGTCTTTGTGTTGGTCTCATGCTGGCCAGTTCTTCATTGTCCTTTCTCTCGCCGAGCTGGCGTCCATGGCTCCCACCGCCGGCGGCCAGTACCACTGGGTATCGGAATTCGCTCCTCGGCAACACCAGAAGCTTCTCAGCTACTTGTCAGGTATGTCTTCTCTATCGTCGGCTGGGTGCATCTCATGCCTTCACCCCGGGCTAAACAGTTGCTAGGATGGCTGTCGACTGTGTCTTGGCAGAGTATCGTTGCGTTGGATGCGTTCCTCATTGGCTCCGTCATTCAAGGACTCATCACCCTCAACGACGACTCGTATTCTCCCACGAGATGGCAGGGGACGTTGTTTGTATTTGCTGCAGTCATTGGCGTGTCGCTCTTCAACGTCTTTGCCGCCAAGCACCTGCCGCTGGCTGAGGGATCCTTTGTCACCCTTTACATCTTCTCCTTCTTTCCCGTCATTGTAACTTTGCTTGTGCTGGCCCCCAAGCAGTCTGCCAGCGACGTCTTTACCAAGTTTACCGACAATGGAGCAGGATGGCCTTCCATTTCGCTGACCGTCATGGTGGGACAGGTGTCGTCCATGTTTGTGGTTCTCGGTATGTTACGTACCGTCGACGACGTTGGCCAGAATACGGCAAATACGCTTGACGGCTTCGCTAACTCGTCGCAGGATCCGACTCGGTAGCGCACATGGCCGAGGAAATTAGGGACGCCAGCGTTGTCGTCCCGAGAAGCATGGTCTGGTCATTCATACTGAACGTGCCCTTCACTTTTGGGCTTCTGATCACGTACTTGTTCTGCATAGGCGACGTCCAGGAAGCTCTGGATTCCAAGACGGGCTTCCCCTTCATCTACGTCTTTCAAAACGCCACGGGGTCTATAGGCGCCACGACCGGTCTTACTATTGTTGTGCTGGTGCTGCTCACCATGATCACCATAAGTTCCCTCGCGTCGACATCTCGGCAAACATTTGCTTTTGCTCGAGACAATGGCCTTCCATTTGCCACATGGCTCGGCGCTGTGCGTTTCCCATTCCCCCGGCGAAGCTGGCTGGCTTCGAATTGCGATTATTTGGCTAACGCGGACCAGGTTCATCCGTCATGGCATGTTCCCGTCAACTCCGTCTTCTTCACCTGCGCCTTCTCAATGGCATTTGCCCTTATCAACATTGGATCAACGGTCGCGTTCAATGCCATGTTGTCGCTGTCAACTGTTGCCCTCATGGCCACGTATGTCGTCTCTGTCGGCTGCGTCACCCTGAAACGAATCCGAGGAGAGCAGCTTCCGCGCTGCCGCTGGAGCCTCGGACGCTATGGACTGCCCATCAACATCGTCGCCTTGTTGTATTCGTGCTGGTCATTTTTCTGGAGCTTCTGGCCAAACAGCTATGACGTCAATGCTGAAAACTTTAACTGGGCATGTGTCCTTTTTGTTGCATTGATGGGTTTGTCCTGCATTCTTTACTATGTCAAAGCGAGGCATGTATACGAAGGGCCGGTTGTCATGGTTGAGGGACATAAAGAGAGTTAAGGGGGTTTATGTATCGCCTCCTGTGTCAAGTCCGTGTCAGGTTTACACCGCATGGGCAACAGGACATTGGCCGTGTTATAGTAATTGCAAAAAACAGTTGCTGGCCCAAGACTCTCATATGCAGGGGAGAGAAAACAAAAAAAAAAAGAGCACCACCTGTTCACTAGACGTAATTTTTGTTTCACCGTTCCCACGGACAGGACCAAAGACCAAGGGTTGCATCGGTTCTCTTCTGAGACAAGCCTCAATATGCGACTCCGAGCCAATCAAGGATTAAGCTTATCACTTGCAGTGTTACATTGTAAACCTAAACCTGGTAATTCAGTCTCATCCCGCCTTGAGCCGTCCGTTCCAACTTTTCAGATCTCGCGCGATCCGCAGGGATCTCGTGGGCTGCCTCCCAAGGAGACGAACCTGTGTCGCATTCGGGTTTAGCAACGACTCTGTTTCGGTAATTACAGCCGCAATGCGCGCGCACTTGCGTTGTTGGAGCCCAAACGCTAATAATTTTTTTGCCATTTTGATTTTGATACGTGGCGGTCTGTTCGTCTCTCTGCCCGAAACGACACTAAATATATACCAACGTGGCTTGCGAGTTACCGTTGAGTGGTTGCGCCAACGGAGGTTGGGTTTTAGATATCGCAATGGTTGTGACGGGCCGAGCAACTCGTGACTCGTAGGTGTTTATGCGCCGAGGAGAATGAATTATAAGCAACCATTGAAGTACTGGTATCTTGTAGTTTAAATACCGGAGTCGACGCCGCTCTTGAGCTTCCAAAGCTACGTACCTCTTACAGCCATTGGCATAACACAATGTCTAATCCCTCGTCAGCTACTCCCGCCGCTAAGCCTGGTGAAGCTCATGATGTCCCTCATCAACCTAGCGACGAGCCCACCACCAATCCTCCCGGCGAAGTGAGCAATGGCCGCAGAGAAGAGCCCGACAAAACTCACCAGCATTACTCAGAAGTGCGAAGGCCCCGACCTTGTTCAGCCAAGCCAAAGCAATGCTGACCTCTCTAACAAGAAAGCGGCTCCAACACCCGATCCCGATCCCCCAGCCATACAAAATGATGACAATGTCGTCTCCGGCGGGGAGACTATAGAGCCTGTCCCGGTTCTGATTGCTTCGGAAACCTTTAGATCGGCTAAATTGGAAGATATTGACAAAGAAGTGGCTTCCCGCTACACCAAAAAAAACAGGAAAAAGATTAAGAGTTTTTATTCCAACCAAAATGAACTGATAGACCAGTACCTTGGTGTGGGAGATGAAGAGCAACTCGCTGCCGAGGAAGAAAGGCGCATGCGACCCAAGATTAGGTTTGCAGTATATGCCTCGTTTTTTGTTAACCTCTGTCTCTTCATCATCCAATTATATGCCGCGATATCGACAGGCTCGCTCTCTGTACGTTCTTCACAAGGGAATTGCTGGGGGGCAAGGCTTCTGAGTCCAAGGCTGACCACGGAATGTACATAGCTCTTTGCCACAGCGGCGGATGCCTTCATGGACCTTGTGTCGTCTTGCGTCATGCTCATCACATCGAAACTTGCGCGGCGGCCGAGCATTTACAAATTCCCTGTTGTGGGTAGCTTGTGCCAAATAGTACAGACGTGCCAGTCTGATGAAGTCTGTTATAATTGACCGGCATTCTAGGGTCGAACCAGAATCGAGCCAATTGGCATTATTGTCTTCTGCGCTCTCATGGCTACGGTGGCCATTCAACTGCTGGTACGGCACGCAGAGTTGTTTCCCCTTCTTCTTTGCATCATTCCGATGGCTAAATCGTCGGCAAGATTGAATCTGCTCGGAGCCTCGCGGGCGGCCACCGCGACGCCAGCCCGTTACAGGTTGTGCCGCTGTCTCTTGTCGGCGTTGCAAGTAGGCGCTTCTTCATCTGTCAACTTGAGATGGAATTGCGAAACTGACTTGCGGGTGCGTGTAGTTTTTATGAAAAGCTCCATGATGGTGTACTGCTTCTTTTATAGACGCTTCCCATCTGTCCATGTCTTCTTCATCGATCACCGCAACGACATTGTTGTCAATATTTTTGGCCTTGTCATGTCCATCGTTGGCGACCGTTTTGTGTGGTACCTCGATCCGATTGGCGCCATTTGTATTGCCATCTTGATCTTATTCTCGTGGGCATACAATGCCTTTGAGCAAATCTGGCTGCTGGCCGGCAAAGGCGCGCCCAAAGAATACATATCGCGACTGATTTATGTGGCGCTGACGCACAGTGGTCACATTCTCAAGGTCGACACAGTAGGTGGCGAGGCCTAAATTTTTTTTCTTTTTTTCTTCTTTTTCTTTTTCTTTCTCACTCTGGCCGCACCGCACACTTGCTGACTGTCATTTTTGAATAGTGTCGAGCCTACCATGCCGGTCAAAAGTACTACGTCGAGGTGGATATCATTATGAGTCAAGACATGCCGCTGAAAATATCCCATGATGTTAGTCAGTCTTTGCAGCGAAAGCTCGAAGGGCTGGCTGATGTTGAAAGAGCGTTTGTGCATGTGGACTATGAGCATGACCACAGCGTCCACGAGGAACATAAGCCTCTGTATGAAGATGCTCAGTTGAAAACCCTGAGAGAGTACTTTTGCTCGTTTATACGAAAGAGGAGGGGATGAAAGAATAGGTATAGGCCATACCTGTAGGTACTTTCGCAAAAGTATCGTGGCGGACTGCTATGCTATTGAGATTGTCGTTATGAGACTGACATATGTCGTTTTGCGCCGACCAAACAAGTATGGCATGAAGTATTCGGGGCCTTTTCCCCTCGGCTCGATGGTGCCATCTTGAGCTGACTCGCTCGTTTTGTTCTACTTTCGCATATGAAGTATGGAAATCCGGATGACCCTCGTGATGCTAATGCTCGATGATACGCGCAGAAAATGTGGACCAAAATATGAAGAATCGCTATTTTCTTGGTCTAGGTTCCAATGATTCAACCTCAGCATGCAGTTGCATATATTGATTGATCGTCTTCTGTCACATTAATGTCGCAACTGCCCGGCAGTCACGGAGGCCGTGGAATTGTATCGATGCCATCCCACTCTGAGCAACGGGCCCAAGCTTGCCTTGTCATGTTACGCTCGGGTTGGTAAACCTAATGTGTATACTTGGTTCCGATGCAGGCACTTCACACACGACGAGCCATCTGGCTCCAAGGTTGAGCGTATGTTGCCCCGCCCTGCGTGGCATGATTCTGCTCACCCAACTGTCAATGTCAAAAACATGTGGCCCAATTGCAATAGGTAGATACGTTTCTGTTTGAGGTGGATTAGCCAGTGTGCTGCCGCGCAAGCCATAGCAAGATGAATATGTGATTTGGCTTACGCCTCTTGATGAATTTCGGTGGTGAGTACATTTGTTCATAATCTTTGCCCATATTATAGGACGGAGGTCTCATCGTATATCTCATTGAATAAAAAAAAAAAAAAGTTGCTCTTTCTGTATATTTTGACCAAGCTTTGTCCATATCGACATTGTTTGAAGATTTTGTACGTGTCTTAGTCCTCGGGGGCGTATTCAACCGTATGCCGCCCTAAATACTTAACATGTACTTGAGAAAATTTATCTATCCGCATTTGCATCTTGTCTGACTTGTGTGCACATGCAGGGAGTCACTGTGACTTAAAGCGGTTGATGTTTTCATGTTGGCTGCGCACTTGTGAAGGGCAGCTACGAGCAATGCCACCGCCATGTCCCGCGGCGAACGAAAGAAGCGGAGACGTACATTGGCATTATCAGGGCGCACCAAAATGTGAAGTGGAAAATCTTGAGCCAGAAATGGAAGAAGAGCCAGTTTTCATTCGCAAATTGAGGAAAGAGATGATCAGCCGTGGTGTCCTAGGGGGAAGGCGGTGAGATATTGCACGTGTTCAAAGTTGGTGGGAGACGGTACGAAGGAGGAAGGAAGGAGCAAACAAATCTCGTGAGCAACGGGGTTGGTTGATGCCGACCCCAGACACAGAATGCAAGCCCGCGAGATCTTGTCTTGGTTTCCTCAACGGCAGACGCTGAACACCAGTGGGAGCGGGGCTTTCCATCCAATGCTCCTAGACGTCTACTCTGAGATGACTTGAACGGTTGGGATGATGACGACCCCCGTACCTGGGCGCGTGGCATGGCGGAGGCAGCCAACCGGAAGTGGTCGGTCGACGGCCACAATCACAACCACACCACAATCACCATCGCTTGCCCCCACCTTCTGAGCTCCCAGGCCAGGGACCCGCCAGCCAAATGACCTCTGCTGCAGCACTGACTAGTACCAGACTCCTTCAGCCCAACAGCCATGCGGTTTTGACATTTGCATCTGAAGGGCAGGCACAGCCCCTTCCGGATCCAGAGCCTCGATTTCCAGTCTTCCAGTTATTCAGCATATCCATTCGACCGTGGTGTGGTCCAACCGTTTGACCCCGTCAAAAAATTTCCCATCCAATTCGCCCATTCCCATCTTGCCTATGCGCCGTATGAGGTTGATGGATGCGAAGTTTGACCACACTCAGCCTTGGCTTCGCTCGACCATCTGCCCATGAACTTCACCATGTCAGCGTGTGAGCCTTTTCTTGCGACAGATTTCCCCTGTGCCCTGGTGCAAGCAGCCTGGTGATTCGGACCAAGGTTCCTGGACAGCTCAGCAACAAAAATCTCAATTTTCAACGGACTCTGCGTTGATTTGGCCGCATCCACTTACACCAGCTCACAGCCTCACTCACACTCCATGACACAGGCCGGTGCCCGAGACCGCCAAGGCAGGCGTGGACTGGTATTACACAGTGACACCGGGCGAATTTTGCAGGTATATATGACCGAAGTGTACAGGCGCCTCACGACATACTTCAACCAAATTCACAGACAGCGCAACTTTCAATCCACCCAGCACCATTCACGGGTGTTACTACTCTCAGACGGGAACTGAACACGCTGGTTCTCGTCCGGATGAGCTGTACAGGCTTTGCACACGCGCGAGCGAGCGGATATATATACATATATGGGTCGCTCGACCTTGGAGCCGCCGCGGAAGCGCAGCGCAGACAAAGGACTTGCTTCTAGACACAGCAATTCTTTTCCAGCTATCGAGGAGCAATCAACATCCAACATGGAACTTCACAAATGTTTAAACGACGCTGACCGCCAGGACAAGGAGGCAGCAAATCGTATGGTCCAAGCTCAATATAACGAACTCGATGCACGAGGGCTGAGCAATTCACCTCCCCTAAATATCGGTTCCATTGGCTCCAAACCCAACAGCTCCGAGGACCACGTCGAATATATGAAAGAGTATGAGGCGGCTTACGCAAAAGAACGGAGCAGAATTTTGCAGCAAGAGAAAGACCTCGCTTTTGATTCAAGATGCCGTGCAAATGCTACCGCACTCGAACAGCGGGTTGATCAAATACTGCATGAATTTCGCAGGCAAGATGAAGACATGTTTGAGAACCAACCACCACGGTCAGGTCACGGTGGACAGCAACATCAGAGATTTGTAGGAGATCACTACTTGTCAAATGTTGACCTCATTCCAAAGACAGCTTTATGGCGTGTGGCAAAGCAAACTCCAAAGGGGAGTCACCTTCACAACCATTTCAACGCTTGCTTGCCAGCAAGCTTTCTTTTGGACCAAGCAGCACAAATGCCCAGGATGTACATCATGGGCGACCGCTCCCTGAACCCAGTCAACCTCAAAATGTGTCAGATACAATTCTCCATCAAAAGCGAGGAAAGTGAGAAAGATGGGCCCGGTCCGGAAAATATCTTTTCGCAGGACTGTGAAAGTGGCTGTCTCTGGTCCATGAAATTGAGCGAATTCTTGGGACAATCCAAGGATAGATTCAATGGCCTAGAACCCATGGAGTGGTTGCGGACAAAGGTAGAATTTGACGAGGAGGAGGTTCATGGTCCGGAACAAACTCAACGAGGGTGAGTGGCAAGTAATCCAAGATGAGATATAATCCTCGGTCAAAATTAACCTATTATTCCGCATGCAGATCTTGGCAACTCTTTAATATGAGGACGAGGCTGATGAAAGGGCTCTTCAATTACGAAACAGGCTTTCGAAAGTACATACAAGCGTATCTTCAAAACCTTGTAGAAGACAAGATTTTGTATGCCGAGTTGCGGGTAACCTTCATGGAAAGCAACTACCTGTTCTCGGATGACGGTAAAGAACGGAAGAATAATTTTGAAATTGTGCGCATCATTGCCGAGGAATTGGATCAGTTCAAGGCCAGCTTGACGAACAAGAATGCGTTTCATCACGTCAAAGTCATTTACTGCACACCACGATCTATGGAACCAGAAATGGTTCAGGCTGGCTTGGACGAGTGTATCAAACTCAAGGAACTGTGGCCAGAACTGATCGCAGGTGAGCAAGCATAAGTCTCACTGGAATTATGCTCAAGGATTCTCCTAGAATCTAACTTTATGGGCAGGCTACGATTTGGTCGGGCAGGAAGGGCCAGCGAAGGATGTCAAGTATCCCCTCCAGAAGTTCGCTTACCAGTTTCATTCATTCAGACAAAAATGTGAAGCGAAAGGCCTTGATATACCTTTTCTGTTTCACTGCGGTGAAACACTCGAGATGGGGACTAGTACAGATGGCAACCTGATTGACGCGCTGATGCTGGGTGCAAAGCGTATTGGTCATGGCTTCGCTCTGATCAAGCATCCGCACATTATGCAACAAATGAAGGCCAAGGGCGTCTGCCTAGAGCTGTGTCCAATTTCGAATGAGATCTTGGGCCTAACGCCTCGAGTGGCTGGCCATTCAATGTATCCTCTCCTAGCTAATAATGTGCACTGCACTATCAACGCCGACAACGGAACTCTGTTTCGGTAAGTTAAAACTGTTTTGTGTCAACTCCCGAAAAAGTAACGAGAATAACTAATATGAGGGCACTTCACTACGCAGATCTTCCTTATCGCACGATTTCTACCAAACTCTGGCTGGCAAAGACGATCTAGGGATCTACGGTGTGAAGCAGTTGATTTTGTGGAGTATCCAACATGCTTGTTTGGACGACGACGAGAAGCAGCAAGTGCTCAAAAAATGGGAACAGCAATGGGCAGATTTCCTGAATCAGGTGGTGAATGACTATGATTTCTCGATTAGGACACCAACGCAAGGATGAACTCCTGCGAGTATTCACCACGTGTAAGGGCATGGCTGAGCAGGCTTGGGAATAAGTAGCGACGATGAAGAACCGAGCCCAGAAAATGGGAATATTGAACAGGGGCAATCCAGAGGCTGCACAGCAGGCGGTGCAGATGACGGAACTGGAAAAACAGCCAACTTTTGCACTGAGGCAAGGCGCGACAACTAGGCTTATGTGGGACGGCTGACGACTTGGATGGCAGCGTACAGAGGCTGAGACGATGCAGTCCGGGGCTTTGAGCTGCACATGTTGCACGTGGGCGAGGGTGTACGACAGCGCTGCATGTATATGTAGGGAGTTCACGTCCAAGATGGTGGAAATTTTCGACGAATGCCACTCTAACTAGGGCTTGGACCAAACAAATCAGAGGCGTGTATACAAACGTGTTTAGAGGTATATTTTATTGGAACGCTTATGCGGAGGCTACGGCACGCAAAATATAAATGACGGCGTGGGAATCCTGACACACGAGTGGTGTGCCACTGGCGACTCGTTCGTGAAAAGGCGCAGCCAATGATACTGCAGGCTTAAGCCCTCAATATTGTTGTGGATGGACGACGGATAACATCTGGAGGTGTGACGGGGCGGACAAGGCGGGTCAAGTAGCGCGGGCCGGGACACGGCAAAGACGGGAGGGAACGTCTGGCTGCTGGCTCAGCCACGATTCACGAACCAGGGCTCCAGTTGCCAGTTGCCAGCTGCCAGTTGAGCAGTTGGCGACATTGATTCTATTAGTACTAGTCGCTGACGGGGGAGTCTCCCAGCCCTGGGCCCTTTATCCAGCCTCACCTCCGCAGACTTGCAGACCATGCCGGGATGCTGGGTGACGGCACGTCCGTCACCCCAACTCTCCTGTTCGCCTCTTTTTGTTTTGTCCTTCTCTTTTCCTCCGTCCTATTTATTCCAGAGACGCTCTGCCCCTCGCCTTGTGTGGCCGTGTCTGGCCGTGACAGCAGCAACTGATGCAGACGGTCAGAGCGCCAGATGACACCAGTTGAAGCTTCTCAACATCATTCCCTCGGCTCGAGAGCTTCCATTTTGAACGAACCTCACAGTCCCTGGCCACGGCCCGGCCACATTATTCGGCAATCACCCTGCTCCGTAGAATATATCTACCACAATCGCCGCTCATCATGTCTCAGCCCGGAGATGCAGACTGGAAGTGGTTTCCCAATGTCAAGGCGGGATGGTCCCTCGACGTTGTGAACCTCCTTGTCGTCATTGGCGAGTCTTCCATCGCCGAACACTCCCAGGCCATTACGGCCTCTCTCCCCGGTATGCTGCCTCGCATTCTACCTGCGCCTCAAGCTCTCCTCAAGCCGTCACGCCCGACGAGAATGCCCGAGACCCATGCGCGCATGACGGGCGTGTACAGCGGCACCACATTGGAGTCGGTTGGTTTTTTTGCCAACATCATTACGCCCCTGGACCAGCTACATGCCTTCAGCTTCAAGGTATTAGACATCAAGCATGCCGTCTGCCCCGTGGAGCGAGTGCCAAGGGAGGCTGTTGGGGGAGTGCCTGCTGCTTTGGCCGCCATGAGAAGGATGCTGCGACGACTCAAGGAAGCAAAGGGCCATGAAGGCGACGAGGAAGAGAAGCCCGCCGAACAAGGGCTATCGTCATCGCCCCGGGAGCAGGATGAAGAAGCCGCCGCGGGAGCACAGCAGGACAAATCCTCCTGCAACGGTGCAACCTCTACCGGACTTCCTCGTCGCCAGCTTACAGTCCAGTTCGCGGACAAAACCCTCGACAACATGGAAGACCCGGACTGTCCGCCTGGACACTCCCTCACCCGACGACGCTCTACCGCCCGCGAACGCGCACAGGATCTCCTCACCTCCCCTACCGTAGCAGTAGGCAGCAACCGTCCCGCCGTGCCGGCCAAGCTCTTCTCCCCCATCCACATCCTCTCCATCTTCTCGTGCGCGCTCAGCATCGGCCTCATCGTCATGGCCGCCGTCTGCCAGGACGGTACGGCCATACTCGCCATAACCCTCATCTCGCTGGCTTCCACCGTCGTCGGCTACGCCTCGTTCTGGCGGCCCATACTCATGAAGCGCAAGCACACCAACGAAGTGCCCCGCGGCGATGTCCTCATCCGCACCCGCGAGGGTGCCTTCGTCCTCGTCCGCTGCTCCGAGGAAGTGGCGCGGGAGCTGTACTCGGGCACCGAGGAGTGCGAGTACTACGTCGGGGGCAACACCTACCGTGCCCTCATGGCCCTCGGCACCATGCTCCTCATGGTCAGCGTCGTGCTGCTAGGCAACTGCACGTGGGATCTCAAGGTCTTCATCGGTGCGAGCTACATCGTCCTCAACGGCCTCTACTGGGGCCTGGGCATGATTCCGCGCTCCTACTTCTGGGACCTGTCGCGCTACGAGTGGCACGACGTCACTCCCCCCGACGCCGCCAGGGCGCACCTCGTCACAAACGAACTCGACCAGCGCGAGGGCCACCCCTCCTTCACAAGGACCCTGTGGTACGCCATCAGAGAAACCGAGTTGACGGGCTGGGTTGAACGGAGCGGCGCCGCCCCCAGCACCCACCAGTGGAAGAAGTGGCTCCGCGAAGCAGAGCAGGCCGCTGTCGAAGGAAACAGAAAATGGCCCGCCGTCGCCAGAAAGGACATTATTCTAAAGGAGAATCTAAAGGCCGGCAGGGTGTTTGATCAGGCGGCGCAGCATGCGCCTGCTACCGAGGTCAGACCTCCCCCTGACTCTGGGAATCGATGGACAAAGGATGGGACATTTTAGATCATGATTCTTGTATTTTATTTTTAGTGGCATTGGCATGGCATGTTTGGGTCTATTGCACTTTGAGATATCCTGGATGAATTGTACTGTATAGAACAAGTTAAATGAGATATAAAATACATGTTGACTCTTGCTAATAACCTCAAGCCCTCTATTTTTTTTGGCAGTTCCCATCGAAACAGTGTAGCGGCTTTCCATTCGCCGTGTAGGACTGACACCGCCCGAAAAACTTCCTCTCCATGTGATAAACGAACCATCCCTCTTGGCAATCGTGCCCGAAGCCGACACCACTGTGAGCTCATTCTCATCATCCTATTCGGCGCTTTTGCGTGGCGCAGGACTACGTAGCATATGCATGTATCGTCGCTCTCCTCGTTGACAAAACATGGTTACTCGCCGAAAATATACCGTGGCAAAGACGGCAGGGAGACGGATTTCAATTGACAAATGCGCAGACACTGCCATGCCCAGTTCAGAACAGCTGGCTTCGCCATCAGTTTATCCGTATCACGAAGTGAACGTGAAGCTTTTATTTACAAAGGCAGATCTTCGTTTCTATACTATATAAATCAGTGAGCAAGCCCCGTTTATACCGTATTTTCTGTCCCTCCAACTATACGCTATGCTGCATCAAGCGTAAAACTCGAGAACAAAGAAAAGGAGAAAAAGTTTCAGACGCCGCCTCTCCATGCCCCCCAACCAGCAAAGACGCCAAATGTGCATGCTCCAACGCCTTGGGTCTGAGATGAGACCCCTGTCTATGTATCACTTTTGCACGTGTTCCTTGGTTAATCGTCAAAGTAAACACCCTTCTTCTGGGTAATATCAATCATGCCGCCGCGGTAGCTGCCCTTCTTCTTCTTATTCTTCTCCTTAGTGAAGCCCTTGCCCTTGGTAACAATCAAATCTTCGTGGGCGCGCTGTGAGTAGTCCATAGAAACATATTCATTAGAAGCAAACCGAGGATCGACTTTAATGTTCTTCGGAATACGTGAGAACGGCTCGTTTTGCTTTTTGCGGCCATTGGTAACCGGATTGGGAGGCAGAGGGGGATCTTCAACCTTGGGCTTGGGCGCAGGTGACTGATTGTCCAGTGTTACAGAGGTGTCAGATGAGTCCTTAGACGCTACACCTTTGGTCTTTTTGGATTTGGCCTTTGCTGAGTCGGAGTCTGACGCGGAGTCGGAGTCGGAGTCGGAGTCAGAAGAAGAATTGTCAGAGGACGAGTCAGACTCGGGAAGGGCGACTTTGGCAGCTGCTGCAACCTCGATTTCGACATCAATCTTGTTATCGCTGGCGGCCTCGGAGGAACCGTCGTCGTCAGAAGACGAGTCATCGGACGAAATTTGGTCGACATCCATCTTGCCGTCGTCACTAGAGTCGCTATCCGAATCAGGTTTCGAAGCTGCTTTCTTGGCTGTTTTTCGCTTCTTCGCCTGGGGCTCATCATCAGAGTCTGAGCTGGAGTCAGAGTCCGAGTCCGAGTCAGAGTCGCTAGAGTCGGAAGACTCAGAGGAGCTAGACTCGGCTGGCGCCTTGCGCTTCAAGTTTTTGGTTTCGACGACATTCTTTTTGGCGGCAGGAGCGACTGTCTTTTCATCCTCGCTGGAGCTCGAGCTGCTTGATTCATCGCTAGACTCCTCACTAGATGCGTCACTAGAATCGTCGTCGGAGTCTTCTTCGGATTCGACCTTGCTATTTTGACCGCTTTCCCAGATCTTGAAGATCGAAACCAGGGAGTTATCGCCATCTATCGAAGTTTCAGATGACCATCCATTTTTCGCAACTTCCTTCTGGAAGGCGCTGTGCGTCTTTGCGAAGGAATGTTGGTTCAGGAAGCTTCCGACCAGGTTCAAGAGTGCGGCGGGAGGTGCAGAAGCGGCCTCTTCCCTAGTGGAAGAGACCGCCTTGGAATTCTTCTTGGCCATTTTGTCTGATTTTCTTGGTGTTTCGGTGGTGGTACTGACTGTTGCTCTCGCCGTTGTGGTGTTGCTGGTATTGTTGGAGAAGAGCCAGGAAGGCGGGCCACTAGACCGTGTCATGAGCTTTCAAGAATAGCACAGACTATAAAAAGGGAAAAAAAGACTTCAATACAGTTTATGTAATCCAAAATGCTATTAAGCGCTCAATGCCGACGCCAAAAATATAAGAAGGATCAAGTCTGTTCCTGTTCACCGACGAACCGGCTCACATAGAAGGAACGAGTCTCTGGAAAAATTTCTGTGGAAACCAGCCTCTTTTTGGCAGGGGTCCTGCAGGTGGGGTTGGGTGGGTGGCATTTAAGTCCTTCCCTTATCGCGTATCAGGACAAATTATGCGCCGACTTCCGTTCAGGTGGTCAGTACTCCGTACGGAGCAGTTACCTAGGTACCTAAATACCACGTATTCCGTCCATAATGATGGCAAGACTAACCCAGCCTGGCCGCCCCCATCAAAGGACCCAGTGCTTGCGCTGCAAGTCAATAGCAACATCACAGCTCCATCTTGGAAGCTTCAAACGGCTCTGCACTATTACATCTCACGCTCATCTGTCAGGTTATCATCCAATTCGCACCAGCAACCCGAGCCGAGGCATATTGAACCCCGCAATCTACTCTCTCTAGTTCGAATCCGGCTTCTGGCCCTTTTTTGGTCCCACGCCACTGAAATTACCGCCCCCAGCTAAGCGCTTTCCATTTGTTGCTCCGTGAGCCAAGCAGTCAACGCCAATCTCCCATCCACCCCTGCCGATATAGCAGCGACCCAACTCGTCTACTTCCTTAATTCTAGACGAGGTCGTCGGGTTGCGAGATTTGCTGTGTCTGCTCTTCAATCATGAACGCGACGAAGCGCAAGTTTAAGGATTTGCTTCAAGGTCTAAGCAGCCCTGGCCCAACTTCTCCCGACAAAGAAGTCGACAAGATGAGCAGTAGTCCTCGATATGGCACCGGTACGGCAAGCAATGATACGATTCTTCAGAAACGAAGGCGATTAGGATTTCCCGAATCGATGACTCCCACGCTATATAGCCCATCGCACACCACCACATTTTCCAATGTGGTGCTCAGGAAATCTAGTTCGCAACTAAATAGCAAGGCAACGAGCCATAGTCCAGCCAAATACTGCCCCGGGGACAGAGATGAGTTGCTCAAACGGTTGGCAACATTCCAGGAAATCACGGATTGGACACCAAAGCCTGACAAGGTCAACGAAATAGAATGGGCGAAACGAGGATGGATATGTCAGGGGAAGGAGAAGGTTCGATGTGTATTATGCCACAAAGAGCTCGTGGTGAAGCTGAATCGGAAGGAAGAGGAGGGTAAAGAGGTGCCAGTATTGGTATCTTCTGAGATCGGTAAGTAACTGACTCATTCAGTGACGCATTCTGAGACCACTGTTGACTAGGTATAGCGGAGGCATTGGTGGATAAATACTCCGACCTTATTGTATCATCGCATCAGCAAGACTGCTTGTGGCGGAAGCGTGGTTGTGAGGGTGAGGCAGACGCGCTGAGCAATACCGTCTGAAGGAGTCCGGACTGATCTTGAAACTATAGACTCTTTAATTCGCCTCTCATTCTCAAATGCGTCGACAACGCTGGCCCAGCTACGGCAACGGTATGATGAACTGTGTGCCAGGTCTCCTTTTCTTCCATACGAATTCAACCTACGCCTTCCAGATGAAGTTGACATCGACAATGTCCTCTCTCAACTTCCGCCCGACTTCTTTTCTGAGCCCCCACCGGTTGTCGACAAGTCTGGGGCAGTGGCCACCGACAAGCCGCCCAACAGAGCTGCGCTGGCGCTGGCATTGATGGGTTGGCAGGGTCTTACAAATTCGCGTATAGGGCCGGTGCCCAACTCAGCATCGTGCCACACCTGCTTGCGAAGGTTAGGACTGTGGATGTTTAAGAGCAAGGAAGTCGATGAAGGGGGCCAAGTTGTAGTGCCGGCCCCAATGGATCACTTGGATCCGCTCCGAGAACACCGTTTCTTTTGCCCTTGGAAGAATCCGCAAGCTCAAAGTCGAGGTGGTGTTATGTCTAATGGAAAGGACAGTCTGACAGGCTGGAGGACCTTGGTCCAGACTATAAAGAACGAATCAGACTTGCGAAATCTTTACAGCGGGAAATCAAAAAGAACAGGACAGTTGCAGGAGCAGAGGCTAGCGTCACCAAGCCCTGTGAGGGGAATGCCTGGCACGCCTGGCACGCCTGGGTCGCCCAGCCCAATCACTCCTGGTCCGAAGATGAATATTGATGCGTCATCAACAGGGACACCCCAGACAAATGCCGGTGATGACGAGGAGAAGACTCGAGAAGCAAAGGACAAGGAGCGGTGGGCAAGGTTGAGAAAGGTGAAGAGCTTGTTCGACACCAAAGGTTCAAGAAAGTTTCGGCGGGAGTTGGGTCGACCTGGCACCGGCCACTCCAACAAGTCCACGACGGGGACATGATGTAACATATTGAAGAATGAAAAAGGCATAAATCATGACTTTGACAATATTATTGCATGGGGGTTTATGTAAGATTTGGACTGATGAGGTTCTGGCATTCCGGGATGTAAAAATGCGATTTTAAATTTACACTCAAGCGACGGCTTGATGATATACAGACACAAACAGAATCTACGTCCTCCATTCAATGTCATCGAATGATACAACGGGGCCAGTATAGGCCACCGTATCGGCCTTTTTTGCCACAGTTTCCTGTAACGTGAAGCCAGCCATTTCCAAAATTGCGGTTCTCACACCACCGATTCCTCCCCCATTCTTCAGCCTGCCGGGGGTTTCCATGCCCGCCGCGGTAATATATATCCGTGATGATGCATCCTGCCCATCTTTCCACTTGCCGCCAAGCTCTTGATCGAGGCGATCAACTTCCTGCTGCACCACGTCCGCAAGCAAACTACACGTCTCGACCCATCCGTTCCTCGCCTTGTCCGCCTTTGTCAAGACAACAACGGTCCGCGTGTTCGCCTCGGCCAGGGTCCTCAGCATCCACTTGTCCTCGGGTAGCAACTTCTTCTCGGAGGACAGCAAGACCACAGCCCCGCGCAACGTCCTCCTCGCCTGGAGATACTTGATGACGGCGTCTCCCCAACTGGACTGGCTCTTGAAGCCGTACCCGGGCGTATCGACCACCACTAGACTATGCCTGGGGGGCGGCATGCCCTTGGGCACCAGGCCTCTTGGGATTTTGGGTAGCGGTCCCACCCCGTAGGCGTTCATTAACGTCGTCCTGCCTGGTTTTTGGCTCACCCGCGCGGCTTTGGGCTGGCCGACGAGGGCGTTGAGAAAGGTGGATTTGCCGACATTGGACGAGCCCAGGACGACGATTTCGGGCGTGACGTTGTTCATGGAGTGGTGGCGGAGGGCCTCGGCGGAGTAGAGGAATCTGCACGGGGAGGAGGAGAAGAACTTGTCTGCGGCGGAGAGCTGCTGGGTGTAGGATTTGCTTGTGCGGGTTGTTATGTGGATGGGAGAGGTTGCGAGTGGGTTGTGGCGGATGGACTTGGATGCCAGGAGGACCTGTTTGTATGGGCCGGATGTGCTGGTATCTGTTGTTGCGGATTCTCGGGCTTGTTGTATTGCTAACGGTCTGCTTGGTGAGCTGGCTGATGCTCGTGGTTGTGATGTCGCGGGAAGAGGGTCATCGTTTGGGCGCGCGTTCCGGTCTCTGTCCAAGTTTGAATCCTTCTCCCGGGACATCTGAGTCGGGCGCGACGGTGATGGCCGATTTGGCCGCTGTCTTATACACGGACATGGTGAAGCTGAAAAGGGAGCCTTGCGAGTGTAGGTGTGTTGGCACAGCCGTATCTCCCTTGGTGTGACTCGTCTCAGCAGCAGCATATTGAGTTCAAGACGGGGCGATGAAGGATGAAATGTTTCATCGCTCTAAGAGGCTCACACGAGGTGATGCCATGAAGGGGTCTAATTGACAAAGAGGCGAGGTTTCGATGCTATTCGACGTTGGCTGCGGCACGTCGAGCAATTATGTAAAGGTGCACATTGGAGCCCCCACAATCACTCTCAAAACAAAACTCCACATGCAACAACTCACTTGAGTCAAATCTCAAAAACCAGTCCATTTGACCAACCATTGAAAGTCTCTTTTCAGTTCAAAGACATTGGAAGACGAAGAAAGGCGACTTCATTCCGCCCTCAACAATTACAGGACAACCGAGCAGGGCCAGGACCACCTACCCGCAAGACGCCCAACACCACACTGCCAACGACTGGATAACCTCAACCTCACGCCACCATGACAGTCTCACTCGCCGAGCTAGATGCTCACGAGCAACCAAGCGACGAAATGCGCGCGGAATGGAAACACTTCTACCGCCTAGACCCGTCTGTTGTGGTGCAGGATCCCAGAATCGATGACCCCCGACTTCCACTATCTGAGAATGGATTCCAGGCCTCGGGGAAGATTGATAAGACTCAAGTCGCCGATGCTTTTGCAGCGCTGGGGGATCATCTCAGATCGTTTGCGCAAGAGGATATCCCCGTCATTTCCCATTCACTACTACCAGGTAAAATAAATAAAATGCCCCCCAGCCGGGCGTGCCAGCCCCTTCATCAGCACCATCGCATGCCAGCCTCACCTCACCTTCTTCCTCACGATGCAAAGACGAGAAGCTAACCAACTAGGCCTGCTGATCATACCGAACCTCGTGCCGCCAGCGGTCCAAAAGGCTCTTCTAGCCAAAATGCTCCACAGGGATCTCTCCAACCCCAAACACCAAACCAACTTGCACCTCCATTACACTCTCCCCTACTCGTCCGCAACATGCTCGCCTCCAGACGCAGACTCAGTCTCCGACTCGCCTCTGCCTTCCCGCCCCCAATCCTTCTTCACCCTCTCCCCCGAGGTCCCCGCGACATTCACCCCCAAGGACCCGACAGTCCACAAGCCCCTGAGCGCCGGCCAAGTCCTCAACCGCCGCCTGCACTGGGTCACGCTCGGCGGCCAATACGACTGGACGAACCGCGTGTACCCGGACTCGGAGCCGCCGCGCTTCCCTACAGACCTCGCGCAGTTCCTCGAGAAGCTCTTCCCAGAGACCGCTGCCCAGGCAGCCATTGTCAACTTCTACAGCCCAAAGGACACCATGATGATGCACAGGGATGTAAGCGAGGAGGTGGACAAGGGGCTGGTGAGCCTGAGTTTCGGGTGCGACTGCTTGTTCATGATTGCTCCAAACAGTCGTGCAGGCCGCGACGACGACAAGGACGACAAGACTGATGGCCATGTGCAAGAGGAGAAGAAATATCTACTGCTGAGGCTGCGCTCCGGCGACGCCATCTACATGACCAAGGAATCAAGATATGCTTGGCACGGGGTACCCAAGATTATCAGCGGTACTTGCCCGGATTATCTGGAGAGTTGGCCAGCGGAAAACGGGGAGTATGCAGAGTGGGAGGGTTGGATGAAGAATAAGCGAATCAATTTAAACGTCAGGCAGATGAGGGATTAACCTGCCAACAAGCACCCATATACATGAATCAAAAAATATACCACAGCAAGATAATTATTGACTGCATAAGTATGTATCTAGAGTCTAGGTATACAATCCGCGCGCTCCGCATGAGAATACACAAGTCAAAAAAAGAAAAAAAGAAATCAGATAAAAATATACAAGCCGCTGTGCCGTTTTCCATGTATATGTATCAATGTAGACCGCTGGTGCTCGCGCCGAATATCACAACCGTTCCTTATGCAAACCCAAAGCCTTGCGCATTCTCCAACGCCATGCCCAACCGCTCCCGTAATACTTCCTTGTCATTGTATTCCGGCAACAGTAGTGTTCCATAACACGTATAGGCCGTGGGCAAGTGCCCACCACTGCCCTCCTCCTCACCATTCTTTTGTACTGTAAATTGCACGTTCCGCATGCCGCCCACCGGCAGACGGTCCGATGCCGTGACAAACTCGAGAAGCTTGCGCTTCATTCGGTCGTCATATCTCTTTACAATAGACCAAAAGTCCTTGACGGTGTGATGCGACGAATCCCACCCGACGTAGCGAGCATATCGTCGAAGTTCTGAAACATCAATCTCTTGCACGCCCTCTACGATGGACTGCAAGAGTGAAGGCGTCAATAGTGTAAGAGACTTGGCATCCAAACACGCCCGGAAACCGCGCTCGAATGCTTGAAACTGGGGCCGGATGGACACATCAGTCAGGTATCGAACGTAATCGCTGACGTACTCATCGCGGTTCTCACTTGTGACAAGTGGCGCCTCGTCCTCAAGTGCAGCAGGGCTATTTCTTGCCACAGGTGTTGGAATACCCTGCGGCCAGGAAGATTTGTCCTTGCTCATGGGAAGAGTCACGTCAGCGCCAAAAGCCGCAACCGAAAATTCGTATGTCCTTGCAAAAACATCCTCTACCAACCCATCTTTCTCATCCCACTCTTGCAACGCGGTCAGTCCATTTGCCAAATCCGGCCAGCCATCTGCAATATGGTAAAGCTCTTCCACAGGTTGACCCAAGAGCTTCCTGTACAGGGCTTTGGGGAAAGTGATTGGAAGTGTCAGGCCATTGTACACGGCTAGTGACACCAACAGGCCGATCATCTCAAACTTCCATATTTCGACAAGAGATCCTGGCACAAACCATGCCATCCTCGTCCTGTCATCGACCGTGAATGCCCCATAGTTCGGGTCGAGGCATTCCGCGATTGCCATTCGAAAGAATTCTTGTTGAACTCCGCCAGAGTCAAACCCTTGCTCACCGCCAGCACCCTCTCCCAAGTGAATTTTCAACGGCCTCAACAGTTCTCGTTCTTGCCGTCTCCATAGCTGGTCAAACGCATCTCTGAGCACGTGATCTCTGCTGATAGCAAGGATCAAATATCTTGAGGATGCAGTCTTAAGCAAGTCCTGCAGAACGTGCTTATGATGGGCGTTGGTAACCAGACTTCCTGGATCAACAATGGCAGTCATTCTGGTCTTCAGAGAGCTAGATTCTTCAAAGTTTTTGCTCATCCGCGAGAAATTGATTGATCGGAAAAAGGAAGTCAGTGTCTCGGGACTGAAGAGGTACGGATGGTCCAGGAGATGATGCCTATGCCTAGTAGAGGCAAAGCCAACCCATACGACAGGTATGTCCATAGCATCCAATCGCTCTGAAAAATAATCAACGCGAAATTGAATGTCTCCAAGGAGAAGCATATTCCTGTTTTCGTCTAGAAGAGACATCAGAAAATGTTTTCGTGTTGCGTTGGGCACTAAGTCACTTACACAATGTGGTAATCAAAGACAACGCCCCATGAAAGGGGCCATCGGTTGAGTACTCTGGGCGTCCGTTCCACTCCTGAAGGAGCACTGCTCTCGCCCAGTCCAACAGAAGCGTGGGAACTCGGGTTTCGTGTAACAGACGATCCGCTTGGGTGAATTCAAGGATACGAATAGGTCCGCTTCCTAGGAGATCTAGCTGGTTCAATAGGAGA